CAAAAGCCGAAATATTATAATTCCAAGGCTGAGGAAAAAATACCAAAGAAACGGATCCAAACAAATCGAAAAGGGCTTTATGCGATTAAGCTGGAAATTGTCGAACGAATGTTTTTCAATAAAACAATCGAGTACTCTAACCTTTTATTTAAGTCGACATCGCGACTAACAAAATAAATATAACTTAAAAAAATAATATTCGATAAATAGAATATTCCGAGAAATTCTATTAATTGAACGGGGCGTTACACAACCCCTTACATTTTTAAAAGCTACATTATTTATTATATTTATGCAATTTATAACTATTCATATATAAATAAAATAAATTGTTATTATATTTTTTACTAATTATTAAATTTATTCAACGCGATAGTCAAATTATATAATTTATTATTTGAAAGATAATATAAATACATATGACTAATAATATTTTATATACATGATATTGATACTAGTTTTAAGGATAAGGAAAAAAAAAAGATACTAGGTTGAAGGAAAATCCCCCTATATATTAATTCAGAACGCGCTGAGCCTATGTGGCTGCTTCTGGTGCTTTGGAATCCTATGAGGCAAAATTACATGCTTCGTTATTAGGCTTGAGTAAATTTAAATTTAATTCGAAACCAAAAATAATTAAGTTCGGATTACCATAAATATGTTAATTATTTATGGTCATGTTACATGTATTAATTGCATTTTAATATCTTTCCTTGTTATAACTATTGAATTGTATATATATTTTAATTAGAAAAATAAAATTATTTATCAATTAATATATTTATATTTCAAGTAGTTATATGATATAAGTTATAAAACTAATATAATATAACACATGTAAGTCATAAGTAACACATATCATTCTAAAATATATAGTAATATATTTTTTCCGTAAAAAAGTAAACTAAATTTAATATAGTTTCTCATTGATTTTAAAATTTAAGAATATTTTTTTAACAAGCACCTGTGTAATACACGGGTGTTGTACTAGTATAAAATAAAACTGGAAGTCGTTGGTTCCCGATTTTATATTAGTGAATTTACAGCTAGGACATCTAAGAGTATGTTTGTTTATTAAAATTTTTCAAAAAAAATTCAACATATTAACTCAACTATCTTTTTTAACTCGACCCCATTATAATCAATCATTTATACACATCACCTCAACCTTAATTCACTATTCATCCACTCACATTATTTAACTACTCATCACATCAAATCATCTCTCTCTTATTTTTACATCAAATCAAAATTAATTATTTTATTTCAAATATTATTTTAATATACCCACTAACAATTAATCATGTCACCATATTCAAAACTAACCAAACTAAATCAAAAAATCTAAACAAAACCAAAAATTTCTATAAACAAACATGCTCTAACACCGTGTAATGGGAAATATTTTACAAATGAAACCACTACAAGAATTTGAAGGCAATGGATATATTTATTTATTTATATTTATTTTTTCGGGGTAAGAAAAGAGAAGAGAATGTCTGAACCAGTGACAGAGTTATAATTTTTACTTAGGGAGGCCCGATTTTAAATAATAAATAACGAGTTTGTAATTTACGTAGAAACGTTCATTTCGTATAATGTTGTATTTACTTATAAATATAGATATTAATATGTGTACCTTCAAGTTTTTTAAAAACTTAGAATCCGTATCCTCCTCAAACTTTTTTTAAGAAAAAAAATGAGTTTTCGTGTATTTTTAATTTAAGTTTAAGATCTATAATTTATGAAAAATAAGCTTTTTTGTTCAAAATAACACCCCTCCTTACTATAAAATCAGAGTAGCGCAATAATTCGCAAAGTTATTAAAAATAAAACCTTTTTACTTTGCGAAAACTGATTCGGGGTGTTACCGTGAAAAATCGTGACTTAACTTAGAAAACCGTTGTTTTAATTTAATAAAAACGTCCGGTTACTGAAAACTTAAAAGTTCGTCAAACATAATAAGTTCGTCAAACGAGTACTGCGAAAGACATCAAAAGTCATCAAAATATAAACGGAATCGTAAATCATAATCATATTTATAGAGTCCAAAACATATATAAATATCCTGAAGTCCCATCACGTCACGTCACGCTCCCGGTCCGACATCCTGACCTGAAAAACATAATAAAACTGGGGAGTGAGCACTAAGGCACTGTGCTCCGTGGAAACTCATGCTAATGTAAAACATTGTAAATAATAACAATATCATG